CAGTGCATTTTGCTTTACAGCACTTATATATGTGTAGCAGTGAAGTGACTGAATGGATGTGGTTCTGCTCCTCTCTACAGATAATGCAGAAGAAGAAGATGGAAGCACTTTATTGGGCATTGCTGATAGGAATTGTGGTATTTCGGCAAACTGATTCCTCTCACTGTTCAAGTCTTGGAAACTTCTAAGCAGCTATAAACACCTACTTCAGAGTGTGTGTTTAAGTTCAGCAGAGCAGAAGCCTGAGGCTAAAAGAATGCCACATTCTTCTTTGGAATTCTGTTCAGGTTTTGCTGAAGAATACTAATACGAGAAGTCATTGCTTTCTATTTGGTGTTTGTATTCCTCAGGAAAATGTCAGCTGTGTGCTATATTAATTGGATGCAAGTACTCTAAAGTTGAGTATAAGTGGATGTCAAGGCAGTAAGAAGAATAGGCACAGTTCAGTGGATGTGTGTGCTGTAGTAGCTGAAGGAATTTTCATCCAAGGTATTACAGTTTAATGTATAACTTAAAAAAAAAAAAAAAAGGCTTAAAAATCTGAGCCTTTGCAGTGAGGTTTGCTAGGAACTTGTTCTTAGTTTCTGTGTGTGTGTTAAGGCAGTATTGTGTGTACGGGGTTTCTTCCACTTAAGAAGTCAGCCTCTTTTAGGGCCTGGAGTGGGCAGTGGGGGGGTGGGCAGCCAACCTGAGCAGATCAGACTGCTACTGGCAGGAGCTGGTTCTGCTGCTCCTTTCCTCTTTGCACGCTGTCACTGTTCTCAGTGCTTTAGCTCCTGTCAGGCAATGCCAGGAAGCAGTTCTGTTCACTGATGTAGCAGCAGACAAGCAAATAGTTTTCTGCTGAGCCGTTAAGTCGAGTCAATTTGTTTTGCAATCAGATGAGCATCAGTCAGTACAAGGAGGAGGTGCTGTGGAATTGTGTGCCAGGAGCTGTGGGAGAGAGATGAGCAGGGAGTTGGGCTCTGCTTATCCATGGCCATGAGCCATGCTCAGCTATGTCATGCATCCATATTTGAAGGCTGAACAAATAACTGAGAATCTGACATTTTTCTCATCTGCCAGTACTGAGTTTATAATACAAAAATCTTTCTCTGAGAAATATGACATCCGGAGTATCAGACTGGTGCATACTCTAAAAATAATGTTTCCGAAGTACATCATTGCTGCCAGTATGAAAATAGAGCTCTTAACAGAATTGCAGTCTTGTGTAGGCAGTAGCTTAAGCCTGTGTGAATTTGAGGGAGGCTCAAAGCGACAAACCAGCTTTTCAAGTAAGGCTGTCTTTCATTTTCTGCTTGAAGTGCCTTTACAGATGTTGGTATGTAATTTTTTCAGATGTTTGATTCTGCTATTATTTAGAGTCCTACCTGAAGTCCTCTTTCTTGTGACTTTTGTGTCTCAAGGTCTTTTACCTGTCCATTGGCATCGTTAATCTTGAAGAGAGCATTCATACGTTGTTTCCCAAGGGTGCAGACAGCCATTTTCATTTCTCTCTCTCCCTAGCTCAAACAGCAGTTCAGGCAGCTCTTTTACTTCCCATCATAGTTGTTCTGGTGGATTTTTATTACAGCTGTTTGATCTTTCTGTGGCTGTTGCTCTCTTGGTTTTCAGTTATTTTGGAGTTGAAAATGGCTTCAGTAAAAGATGTGTGGAAGAGGTGTTTGGAGATAAGGGGTTGCCAGCAAGTATTTATTTGGCTTGGTATTTTTGTACCATCGTGTTACCTGGGTAAGCATGTACAGATGAACTTTTAGTACTTGATATGTATGAGGAAAAACTCCTGCAGTCTGTGAGCAAAAGTAAAGCAAACAAACAAAGCCTACGAGCAACCAACTAAAAAACTTGCAAAAAAAACCAAAACAAAACAAAAAAACCCAAGCCAAATAACTCCCCCTCCCCCAAAAAAACCCCACAACAGAAACCCAGTCTAAACTGTTACTGTACTTGTGCTCAAACTGAACAGAAAATCTCCCTTAAAGCTGGAAGGGCAGATGTTGGGTGCCAGGTTTAAAAGAAAAGTCCTGTGGTTAGGTGTTTTCTTTCCTTCTGAAAGCTTCATGGATATAGTATGAAAACAAACCCAGGGAATGATAGATGTTCTTTGTGTCAAAAATGCCTTAGTGTGTGTAATCCCTCTTAAGAAGGTTTAGAGTACTTAAGTAGGTGTAAACCAAGTTAACTAAACTTGTTTTTACAGCTGGGTTGACTGCAGACCTTTTTGGATACATTTAAACCAAGTTCTTAAGTTTGGTAGGTTATTAATATACTTGGCTTACTTTCAAGCTATCTAACTTGAACTGTGTATGTTAAATCGATGTTTGCTTTTAGTGTGCTTTAAAAGCACCACTGCTGTTAAGATTTTACTTAATTTAAGTGCTGTTTTGTAACCTGAAAAGTTTCTGTTTTGTCATTCATTCATTCATTGAGCTGCCTCTGAAATGTATTTGGTGTATTCAAAACGAAAGAAGTCAACCATGGCACTTTGCAGAAGGCACTGAATTAAATAGCTTGCTACTTGAAAAGACTTCTCAGGAGATGCAGTCAAAGATAGAGAATGGAACAGAGTGAAAAAGAAAATCGGGTAGTCTGTCTTCTTCTGTCTGTATACTGCAGTAATCGAAGATGGCAATTTTTGAGATTGTTTTGTGCAAATACAGGTTCACAATCTATTCCAGTATCCTGCATTGCAATTAATAGTAATTTAAAGTCATCTAATTGCTGGATGTTCAGCTAGGACATATAGGTACTAATTTTTGATCTGAGGGCTGCTTTTGATGACTGTAGATGTATTAAAATATAAGAGAACACATAGCAAGTAGCTTCTTGCTTTAATTTCAGGTTATGTTGTATTTGGTTGCCAGTGATTGTAACCCTGGTGGACATAACTCCATCCCTTTCCTGGCCTGCATCAAGTCCTGGATCTGAGTTGCTGGTCCCTGGAAAGATGTGGGCTCTGTCTGAAAGCAAGAGAAACAGGTTGGCAGGTAACCCCTGCTATCTCTAGCTCTATCTCTTGTTACTGCATTCAGCACTCAAACTCCATGTTTTATATATGCAGATGGCCATACTGTTTGGAAGTGTTGGACTTCAAGTATCCTTCAGTGTAGCAATGAATATTCATGTTTAGAGTGATGCAATTTTTTGGATAAATTTTTTGGATACTCTCTTCTGGTGTGTTGACAGTCAGGAGGGGGAATGCCTAATTCTGTGTTCTGAGGTTTGGGTTGAGATTTTATGGAATGTAATATGGAACTCACATGAAACTAGTGCCATAATGACGCCAGTCCAGTACCATAGTGTGGGTTGCAGTTGATTTTTGTCAGGTGATGATGTTTTCCTCAGGTACCTTGGCATCCTTGATGAATTATTGCTCACTCCTGTAAGGATTAGGTAGCTGCTTGCACGTGTATCTTTCCTTTCTGGTCTTCCCATGCCAATAAATTTAAAAAGTGCTGTGGCAGAAAATATTAACAAAGAAATAGTGATTTTTATCTACCAGATGAAGCAGTACTATTGCAAAGGTCTATGCTGTTTTACATTAAATTTAGTCTAATGGAAGGACAGATTTTCATGAGGATCCTGTGCCTTCTGACAATTGAATGTGGTTAGCTAAAAATGAGATTGTGCTGGTAGTTTGCTACATTAAATCAGATTTAGATGGGAGTCTTTGTAGCTCTTGACTGTGTGGATTAGGTTAAGAAATCCCAGAGCCCACTTCCTTGTTTAGGCTAAGTAAGCAGCAAGTGACCTCAGGGCACTTCTTCCCACTACAAGATGAGAAAATAGAAGATAGGGAGATAACGAGCTTGCTGCCTGCACTTCAGAAATCCCGGAGGCATTTGTAACTGCTGTTGCAAACCTCAAGAAACTCAGAGGCAGGAGGCTTAATTGCTGCTGCTTCTTTCCAATATCTGCATAAGTTCCAGTTCCAAACCTTTTAATTATCAGCAAGAATGTGTGATTCTATTCAACAGAAGTTGTGATCTTTTTACTTTTGTAAGGACTACTTTGTGAATTTCTTGAACTGAGGATTGTAAAATTAAATTAGTCTACTGCAACATAGCAGTAGAGGCTGTCTTGAAAATTAGTATGCTATCAAATATTTTTGAGGTTACTTAGAAATTGTGTATTTCCTTGGAAAACTTCTCTAAACTGTGTCTGAACATGCTTATTTAAAATTGCTGATTGTGAGTGTGATGTGTTCAGTAATTTGGTTCTATCAAATCATGATATGAGATTGTATCAACTGCTTCGTTAGACCGCCCTGCAGTCTAGAAGTCTTTGGGTTATCCCATTTATTCCTGCCCTTGGCAACCCACCCCCAAGCACTGGAAGAACAACACTTACAGAGAGGGTGTTTATCTTCAGTACTGCTTGAACGTGATGTCTATTAACGACTACTTGCGTACACAAATGTGCCCTTACATCTTATTTTCAATTTAGCTTGCATATTATGTAAACTAAAGTGTTGTGAGTTTTTTTTTTTTAAGCCTGTGGTCAGGTTTTTGATGTTTCCACGTGTATTTCAACAAAGTTCTGTTTTGTTTCTGGAAGAATGCCATGTAAAGCCATCTGACAAGGTAGGTCATAGCAGCAACATTTGTAAGCAGCTTGCTGATGGTTGATATTCATTGACTGTAAATCTCTTGTTTGGCAACGTTTATGAACAGCTGTTGTGTAATTGATCTGAACTTTCTGCTTTAGAAGTTGCTGACGACCACTTAGTGTGGCTGTGGTCTGTGACCAATTATGAGAGTAGTCCTGGAAATCTTTTTTTCTTTTTTTGCTTTGTTTTTCCTCCCCTGTATGTTAATCAGCAGTTGTAGCCTGATCATGGAGGTTGTCCCTAATAGTCATTTTTATTAAGATACACATTTTGGGATGCTTGGTGCTGGCTTCTCTGTGTGCCATGTTGAATACTTTGATAACTAATCCTGATTCCTGGATAAGTGTTCTCCGTCTGAAGGTGCTTACAAGGTCTTTTTTTCTTTTGACAGCTGGGAAGGAGAAACCAAAAATGAATGCAGAAGAGCTACAGATAAAAAAGGTTAAGAAGAAAAAGAAAAAGAAACATAAAGAGAATGAGAAGAGGAAGCGTCCAAAAATGTACAGCAAATCCATTCAGACTATCTGCTCAGGACTGGTTTCTGATGTTGAGGATCAGGAAGCCAAAGGCATCATAGATGATCATCTTAAGGATTTCAATGGGAAAAATATGGATCCCAAGAAGGACTGTGAGTCCAAGATACCAGAGAACAGTGAGTTTCCATTTGTCTCGTTAAAGGAGCCACGGGTTCAAAATAAACTCAAAAGGTTGGACACATTGGAGTTCAAACAGCTGATTCATATTGAGCACCAGCCTAACGGAGGTGCATCAGTTATCCATGCCTACAGTAATGAACTCTCCCACTTATCTCCTGTGGAGATGGAGAGATTTGCAGAAGAGTTTGTGGGTCTGGTTTTTAGTGAAAATGAAAACTGTGCAGCTTACTATGTAATGGGTATTGTTCATGGGGCAGCTACATATTTACCTGACTTTTTAGACTACTTTTCATTTAATTTTCCCAATTCACCAGTGAAAATGGAGATTTTGGGAAAGAAAGATATAGAGACAACGACTATGTCAAATTTTCATGCTCAGGTAAGAGGTTATATATTTTACTTTCTAAAGTCGTGTAATGGTTTCAAACAACTGTGAATGGATTTTCTTAGAATACAGTCACCATTTAGCTGTGCTGAGTGGATGAAACAAGACCAGAAGCAAGGTTGTTCTTTGTTAGTTCTGCAGTGTTAAGGAGCTTATTAACTGAGGAAAAGTTGCATTTCGTGTGGGAGGGGAAATGTTTGCATGCACGTGGTTGTAGGTTTCTTTGGATTTGTCACTGTCTGAAGCCTAACTGAGTTTCTGAAATGACTTAGCTGCAGCTTTCTGGGCATCTAAACTGTAGCTTTTCTATATGAGCTTCTTCATAAAAACTAAAATGCTTTAATACGTCAGAAAAATGTTACACATAAAACCTTTCTAGGGAACAGTTAAGTAATTTCATATGTAGCTTGAAGCTTCTAAATCTGTTCATGAAGGAGAACTTGACAGTGGTTCATGGAGCTATTAATTTGATCCTTCCTGGTTGCATTTGCCCTCAGTTAGTTGTATTCCCTTGAGGCAGGCATCTTCTGAATCAATTTCTTTGTTTTCATTTTCAGGGAGAGATGACTGTATAGTCTCATAACAGTAACTACTGGTTAAACACCACCACGCTATTCATAAACTTGCTGTAGATGATACAAATAGTCTGTATGCAACAGTAATGTATTTCAGGTCCTGTAAGTTTAGGAAAAAAAGTACTTTACTAGATTGCAACCTTGGTAATGAGAGTATTGTGTAAAGCTGTTAGAGATAACCCAGTACTATTATGAGGATACTTAGTCCAATTGTTCTGTCTGTATCCACTTTAGTTCACAGTTAACTGTTTAAGTTGCTTAGAAATAGATTCCTATTTGTGAATATTAAATGTTATTTGGGACACCTATTAACTATTTTAGTCTTATTTATTTAGACTGTTATGAGGAGCTCAAATGTGAGTCACACTGTGTTTGATTTAAAAAGATATGCTTCTGTTTTTACTACATAAATATTTGTGTGGAACACTGCTGAAAAAAGTCATGCATGTCACCTCCAAGTGTGTATGGAATTGAATTGTTGCTGCAAGGGAATGCTTGCAGCCCTGGTTTAAAGAAAACAAAAAACCCATCCACTGCCACAGAATGTGAATGTTCTATAAATCCACTAAAATGTTCCTGAGTTTCACCAACAAAACAATGATTCTGTTTACAAGATACATTATGGGAGCTCCCCGGAGCTGTTCTGATGTCATTTCACATAAGGAAGCTGGATCTGTGTATGTATTCTCCCGGGCAGCATTAATGGAAACATAACCATGTGCTATTATCCATCTTAAAAATGTACTTAAGACTTGGACTTGATTTCTGTGAATTGTAATGAAACTGTTACTGACCAATTTGATGTTACAACAGTAATATCCACAGCTAAATCAGTTCTGTGGTCATTTCCTTTGAGATTTTTTTCCTACCCTACTGTAAGCGAAGGAGGAACAGAAAATGTAGTAGGTGAAAGGAGCTGAATGTCACATTGTAGCATTCAAATCATTCGTTGACTTTGTAGTCATCAAATCTACATTTTACTTGCCTAGAGGCTTAGTTCTGCTGTCTTTCTTTTGTTTTCTCTACTTTTCAGCAAGCTTTTGTAGCTTTTTATCACTTGTCAGGATTTGGTTGCATGACAGAGTGCTTGGCTCCTATTATGGTTTTGCTCACATAAGAGATGCCATGTGCATGAATGACGTATATACGTGTATGCCAGACTTCTTCATGTGGTCTTTTACAGAGCATTACTCTTATCTGGAATACAGTAGTCAATACCTTGGTTGCCTAGCTATTGATTCTGTTTTTCCTTACTGCTGTTATTTTAAAATCTTCTGTCTGCATGCATTCTCCATGTTACCAGGTGACTTGTTGTAGCTTAGGTTTCCTTAGCTCAGTGTTTCTTTTCTGACTGGAGCCAGTATCAAAGGTGTTTGGGAAGAAGTATGGGAACATAGCAGGCATAGTGGTACTGTGCCACAGAGCTCACCCTCCACGGCTGCTAGAGGGCCTTTTCAGATCTGAGAGTTGTGAGTTGTGGTTTTGACCTCTAGCTGTACTTCTGTTGCATGAATCTCATTCATTAGTATCAGCTACCTCTCTTTCAGTTTTCTGTATCTAAATTTAAAAAAAAAGTACTAAATGATTACATAACTTGTTACTTTTTTGGGTGCAGTTTGACACTATTTTCTCTTCTTGCTGAATTCTTTGTTGAACTTGAAGAGATTAAGTGCTGTTGTACTGTATTGCCTTGAAATTTTAAATGTAGTTTCTCTTCCTGCATTGCAAAATCTCTGTACTCATGTGTTATGTGGTGCTCTGAGCTGCCTGTGCAAAGGTGAGTGGATTTCTGATGCCCAGATAGGAGCTTAGTTTGCTTTGAATATCTGTCTCAACCTTCTGTAGTATTAAAAGTATTTAGTATTAAACTCAGCTGTTGCACTGTTAGTTTAAACTAAAACACTGAAATGAGGCTGACAGTAGTAGGTTGTTTCTTTGGTTGTTTTTGAGACCTCTTTGTGATGTGTGTAACCAGTCTGACAAACCTGATGTGTATTTAGGAAGATTGAAGTGTATGAAAAGAATAGTCCAGAGAAGGAGCAATGAGGTAAGCCTGTAGCAGAAGTATCGGAGTGTTGTATCAGAGGTGACTTAATTTTTTTTTTTTCCTTTGCTGGATTCTTTCAGTACTACTCAGTGAGCTCCAACCCCGTTTTATCAATTTCTTTTTCCCCTGTGCTAGATAAAAGTGTATTTTCTCCTCTTGAGAGATTAGAAATGAGGTGAAGCTTGTGAGACAAGTTGCAGTAGGTTTGAGTTGGGATTGCTTCTGTCTCATCAGAGTGAGCTGTTAAATTTTGGAGAGTTGTACATCACCCATCACTTTGGCCGGAGGAATCCTAGGCATCCATACAGACTGGAAGGAGAGCAGCTCTGTGGAGAAGGTCCTTGAGAGCAGCCCTGTGGAGAAGGACCTGGGGCTCTTGATGGATGAAAAACTTTAATATGAGCCAGCAGTGTGCCCTTGTGGCTCAGAAGGCAAATGGTGTCCTGGGCTCCATCAAAAGAGGGGTGGCCAGCAGGGGCAGGGAGGTGATTGTCTCCCTCTACTCTGCTCTTGTGAGGCCCCATCTGGAGTACTGTGTCCAGGTCTGGAGCCCCCAGTA